ACGAATGTAAATGAAACAGCGGCTGTCTCTCGAATCACAGTCTTTAATTGTCTGCCGAAAGCGTGAAGGCACTCTCGATGCACGCACTTTCTGGTTTGTGGCACATTAGTTTTCGTTTTTCGCACTGTCACTGTATCTAGCGACTCTATCCAAAGGACTGCATCCTGCTCGAAGGACCAATTTTGTGGGAAAATTGAGTGATTTACCCGTAATAAATTGAAACGAACCTTTTATTGAACGTACATATAAGTGCCGGTACGCAATTGCTGCTGCTACTACTTCTCGCATGGACTAGCTCGATCTCAACGCCATCTCGTAAGAACCGAATCGGTCGGCTAAATAAGATTTTTTGTTGGCGCGAAATCATACAAATTATGAGTTTAATTTGTTATAATATATATAGTATATGTAATATTATAAATAATATATATCGTATAGTATATGTAATAATATATATAATATATATAGTATAGTATATGTAAAATATGGTGAAATATAGTATGCAATATAATAATATATGTACGACAGCATTTTAGATTTTAGTATATATTTTTTAATATATACGACAGCTTTATGTACAAAAGTTTTATAGAAGAGTTTTATAGAAATAGTGTACAACTTTTTTCATAGTTCTTTAATCCCACTTGGCGTCATTTCCTGATATCATATTTTTTTATAGTTTTAATATACACAACAGCATCACTTGTTGAAAGGTTTTAATATGTACGACAGCTTTTTTTGAAAGGGTAATATATACGACTGGTTTTTTGATAGGTTTAATATATACGGCAATTTTTTTTAAATGTAAAACAATACTGTTTTGTTTTGGTTGTGACAAGAGCGTGTACTTGGCGCCTTTTTTTTTACCTTTTTTTTTGAAAAGGTTAAATCTACCGCTACTGGCGTGCTAGATCAACGCGCTACCAACATGATGACCACGATCGTTTCAATTTTTTTTATTTTTTTGAATTAGAAAAATTATTTGTTTTGAGTCTTTGCTATCAATTATTTTTAAACCTTAATATCACTATTGTTCTATGATGATTGCATTAGTAAATGCAATTTTCTCAAAATTATTGCTCACAATAAACACATTAATCTAATGCTCTTTGTGTTAAGAAAGCATGCGTATTGAAAATTGACTTACCCTGCCTTCGTCGACAGCTGCGTTGCTCCTCGCCGTTCCATCGGACATCGTTGCAGACGTAATTCCTGGCGCCATTTCTACGGCGCGAGATGATCAGCGAATCCTTCGGCAGCGGTGGCAACGGTCTATTAGCGTCGTATTCCTGTTCCAAGCAATTATCAGTATTCATACGGTATTTCATAGCCGGACTTGCGTTGCGAGCGTCATACGAAACAATGTTTTGACTCGCAGCGGCATCGCATCGGTCCTGATGCAAAAACACCGAATCGGTGTCCGAGGCACTATCTTCGCTTCTGTGTCGCCTGGTGGGCGGTTCGGCAGCTGTGCCATGCTTTGTCGGCCAGTTGCCTCCTGTCACCGCTAAATCTGGCCCGGCGGTGTTCGGCTGATTGGAAAAACTTACACGCTTAGGTCCCGTGCTTCCATACTCCATCGAGTCTCTCCCTATGAGACTGCCTCGCTTAAATATTGGGTGTGGCCGTTTACCCTCGCCGTCAGTACTGCCCTCCTCGTTAGTCGCGCCGCGAACTTCTAGTCTCCTTGGGGATACCGCGCTGCGCGATTTCTCCGTGAATGATTTTTCGCACGTCAAATCGGAACGAGATTCGGTCTTGTCTTTATGAAAATGTGGTGAAGCACTCTTCGACCTCGACGTGTTGCACAATCCTGTAGGATTCGCCATGGGCTCTATCAACATTGATTTCTGATGGTCCCGCAGTGCCTGCTGCTGCGGACGGACTATCAGCACTGGCTGATTTTGGCCTTTTTGCGTTTGTAATATCAATGATAGCTTCCCGGTCGGATTCGTTTTTAGACGCGCCTGCAATTGCTGATGCTGCGCGTTGATCCGGTAAGATTCGTCTCGGTGAATGACGGAACCGGGCGCGATCATCGCGTTTGGACTGAATGTCCCCTGAGGAAACAATATGGGGCTTCCCGTTCTCATCTTGTAATACGTTTCATACACGCCATCTGTCATAAGATTTTGTTCGTAGATTCGCTGCTGTTGCTCTTCGTCAAGTCTTTTTAATTGTTGCCAATACACTGCTTCGCGCATTTCCGGCAAATCGATCTTCGGTGCTGTCTGCCGCGGACCGGAGCTCACCAATGGCGAGGCTGCCGACTTCCGGTGCGCTTCCAGCGCTTTCTGTTGCCAGTAAAATGCCTCCAAATGTTGTCTGGTCTCTTGTTTGGGTGACAACATTCCGCAGACTGAATGATTTTGCTGATCGTCGCAAGTCGCTTCAGCGATTCGCTGAACGTATATAGCTTCTTGATCTTGTTGTCGCGGATGTTGGTACTGTTGTGGTAAGTGTCGTTCGTAAATCGATTCGTGCTGCAGCGAATTTATACTTCCTGCATGTACTTTATTCTGGTTTGCTATCGGCAATGGTTGAGCGTCCGATAGAGACGTTGACGTCGTAAAAAACGCTTGTTGCTGAGCGATAACGTCAGGTCGATGTTGCTGACAAATATCCTGCGCTGCGTTCAACGACTCGCGTATCGAGGATCGAGCCACTCTTCTTTCCGGCTCGTTAAATACTTGATTAACTTCTAAATCATACAATTGTGGATTTCGCGGCATAGGGCTATGATTTTGAGTCTGGTCGACCTTCTCATTAACGTTGCAATGCGATTCAGGCGGACTGTACAGCCTGGATGGCGATTGATTGTTTTCGTGTCTATCTTTATTTATATCTGATGCATTGCTCCGTGAAGGACTTTGCCGCTGCCTACATTGTCCGTAAATCGGCTCGGGACGTGAGATACCTCTTAGCAAGCCAGAGGATGACGCAGTTCTCGATTCCATGGATCTTGTTGCAGCGCAAGGATTTTGGCCGCCGTATTGATCTCGCACGTTAATCGATACGATACTGGAGATACTGTCGTGTGAATCTGCTATGAGAACTGGCGATTCCGCGCCGCAGAATTTGGCCTCATTTGATGGCCGTGATACTCGAGACTGACAGATCTCTTCTCTCTTGGGCGAGGCTATCAGAATTTGATCGTTGGGCTGCGATCTTCTGGTCCGAGATCTTGGAGACACTGCTGCTGTCATACCGTGTTTTGACGGTGATACGTTTGATATGGGCACTGGTGAGTTGTTCTTCAAGCTTGTATTTGTTTGTTCGTGATTTCTTAAGGAATCGTCGCACGATTTCTCGATTTCTTGTTTCAACTTCGTTTGCATAGCTTTATTATGTTCGTAAAATTGTAGGACAGAATTCTTAAAAGGTGATTGTTCATTCGACGATTTTTGTTTGTAGAGATCGTTTCTCTTTTCTGGCAAATTTTCGGTCGTATGGTTCGACGTTTTCACGCGTTCTTCACGACACGGCGATGATGGAGTCTTGTCATAGACGTGTTCTTCGGCGTAGTTACTAGACAACTGAGAAATCGTTGATCGAGCTTTATTCTCATAGATCCTTTCTTGCGTGTCCTCGAAAGGCGCCCGTTCGGTGGGTGAAGTCCGTGTGCTGCTGCGAGGCGAGTTTAAATAATACTCTCCGCTCTTCGAGCTCGAGGGCGAGAACTCGCTTTTTTGGCTTGAATTGGGCGTGCAGCTCAAGTCGGCATAATCGCCGGATTTCTGGCTAGATCCGGGCGACGGATACTTTGGTATTCGACCAATCAACGGCGCTCGCTGCGTCTGATTCACGATCGGCTGTCGAGTGATTTTCATTTGCGCGGGTACCGATTGTGGTGCGTGAATTAGGCTCGTCTCAAGATTTCTATCGTTTCGATAAAGTCCAGGCTGATTTTGATAGTTTCCATTGTCAGCCACGTTTAAACTGCCAAGATCATCGCACAGTCGATCCTCTTCATAATTCTCGTAATTCGACAATTCCACGCGAGATTGCGGAATCGCCGGCAACGGTCGGTCGACCGGATGTATACCACGCGGCCACACGAGATATCGTTCACTAGGCGGTGCCGAAATCCGCCCGGATGCTGCATGATTCCGCTGAAAGAAGTAACTGTGAGCATTGTGATTTGGCTCCTGCAGACTGTGCTTGCGTTCCAACATGTGCCGTCCGTACCGCCGATGACCGTCGCGCTCCTCCTGTCGTTGTTGCTGTTCGTACTTCCTGAAGTTGGGTAAGATGCTAACGTGCGCTGCGCCACGATCCATCCACCGCTCGTTCGGCGCGATTGAACTGAGACTCGAGTCAGTGGTGCATGACTTCTGACCTTTGCCTCGTTGGCGCAAAAGTCGCGTGTCATTCATCGTCTGTAAAAAATGATCGGGCGTACTAGTGATCGGGCCCTGCTGCTCGGGAAATAGCTCGCGTTTGATCTGATCTAGTCTCTCATCAATGATGGAACCATTAAGACTGCTGTCTAGCTTCACGTTCCTCTTGATATCCTCGTTCAGATTCATCGTGTCCGGCGAACGCGTGTAATTACCATTCTGTTGGTAACGAGCAAAGTGTCGCTCATCGTATCGCTTCCGCTCCTTCTGCTCTTTCTTTTTGTATTCCTTCCGCGAGTCCTTCGGCGAGAAGATGGCCGGCAAGAGATGTCGAAAGCCGAGCTTCCGCTTTTGCTTCTCTTCCTTTTTTATCTTTGATGATGCCGCCTCCATTGTGAATTCCTTGACAAGATTAGCGTAACCGTCCTTGCTGCCGCTGATCTTGCAATGATCTTGTAGCACAAAAGTCGAATTGATGGGTTCTTCCGAATTAACTGCTGTGGCAAAATCAATATTCGTGTTCTTTCTCTTTTCGGTCAAAAAGTTCTCGATACAAAGTATCTTCAATACACAGTTTTTAATATTTTTTTCGCAATCGCTCTTCACTGCATTTATATTTGGATTATTATAACAATCAACTGTTGTGTCATTAAAATTTTTCTTTAAACTTTGATCTTTTTGATTATGGACTATCGCTGTTATCGTAAGAATCGTATTTTTGTCAATTTTTTCATTCCATCGATTTTCATCTTTCGTATCGTCATAAACTCTATCGAGTTCATCAATATCATTGTTATCCTTCGTCTGTATTTCGTTCGTCACGTGCGCAATGTTCTCGTCGACGGCTTTACTTCTATCCTCCAAGCACGAGTCGGAGTCAACGGTGCTTACGGTGCTGTTTTCAAGGGCTTCATCCGAAGTTTGTTTCTTGGACTTGTCGGTAGACGTGCTTCTCTCCACGAACTTTGTCGGACGTGACGCCTCTCGATCGAATAACAGCCTGATGTCGCGATCCTTAACAATACTCTCGTGCGAGGATACGCTGCCGAATTTTTCAACATAAGATGATTTCGACGATTCCGAGGAATTGCGTTGCAGACGACGCACCAGAAATTCACCGGACCATCTTTTTTCCACCTCCGTCACTTTTGCACTGTATTGTCGCTTAATGTCGAGCTTGACCAATGGTCGATCTTCGCTCTCACTGATTCTGTTGTTATCGGACACATAATCTAGATCGGTCTCCAGCAATCTCTTTTCTTCAATTTTCAAGCGCTTGTCCAGATTGTGTTTGAGAAAATCTTTGTCGAATTCAGCGTTCAATCGCTCGCCACGATTCGTGGTAATTGATGACGGCCTCAGAACCTGAAGACCTAGCAATTCTTCCTTGTAACTTTGCACGGTACTGGTGCGCAGATTGTTCTGGAGATCCTTAATAGTTACCTGACTTTTTTCTAAATAATATTGTACATTTTTGTCAAATCTCGCGTTTTTTCCGAGACTTTCTCCAACAATCTTCTTCTGCTTCTTGATCTTCTTTGTTTTGCCGCGACCTATGTTTGCAACCTCAGATGCCTCATTGTACTTTTCGATTTCAGTAAAGCTTATACCGTTATCACTCTTTTCATTTTTCTCAGTATCTTTTGTGTCGGAAATTTCTTGTTCCGATTGCTTTTGTTTAAGCTTGGCTGTTATCTTGTCAACAACTTTTTCCCGATTTGGCAATAAATCCTTGAAGGGTTCCACTCTTGTGAATGGGACAGAGATCGCTTTTAAAGATGAACTACGTCCTCTCGCAGTCGCGGTTTTCTCTGGGACCTTCGATGGCACTTTGTTCCTTTTGACATTCACTGAATTCAAACTGTCGATTACGATACTGTTAATCGACGGACTCCTAATAAACTTAAACGGCGTGATTCTATTTTCCTCGTTTGAAGGACTAATGTCATTGCTTTTTCGGCTTCTCAGAATGGATAGTTTCGATTGATCGTCAGAAACGATGTCTTTCACTCTTGACATGAACGCGTTTTTCGGTACCGAGATTTGAAATCTGCCATTACTCGTTGATTTCCGTCGTTTGTCTCTCGTTTGTTTAACGCCAATTAAAGCTCAAAGCTAGTTTTCTCGAAGTCTCGTGTTTTGTCAGCAATACCTTGCGTAACCTATTTGACGATTCTAGAACGATTTTCTCGACGGTAACTTTATCAACTGAAAAAACTCGCACGTTTGCCGCATCTGCTTTCCTCCCATTACTCTTAATCGTGTCTCGGTTGTGTTGTGCATCCGTGCCTGAGATGTTGCTATCGAACACTTCCTTCATCGACTTCATTCTGCTTTGTTGCCGTGCATCGTTTGCCTTTGAAGGACGCCTAGAAGAATTTTATTATGACATTTTCAGAGATTCTACTCTTTTCTTGATTAAAAAAAGCGAAAGTAAAAAAGAACAAACTAAAATTTTCAAAGAAGTAATTAAAAATGTGACTATTCAATATAACAAGTAATACTAATATCATTTATAGTTTAATAAAAATAGGAATGTCGATCATCTGAAAAAAGTCTATAAAATGCTATGAAACATTGTATTTCTATAACTATTATAAATAAAAGACAACAAATTGTCAACAAAAGCAAAAAATAAACTCTGTACTAATTTTTTTATATATCATTAAGTATTTAATGCAAATAACAATTAAAAATTGTTTCATAAATCACATATGAGAAAATTTTTAATAAGAACACAGTACAGAGGTACTGTTACATAGATATCTAATCTAATAAGTTAGATATGCATGTATACATACAGGGTATCCCAAAAGTCCCATAACGGGCAAATATCTCGAAAATAAAGTATTTTTGAGAAAAATGTTTCAAATAAAAATTGTAGGGTTTTAAGCGACGCATTAAGTAGCATGTTAGTACTGACTTTGGATAGCGTTGTTGAGATTACGTAAAAATCATTTTAAAATTTTATAATAGAAACTCCCATTTTTGATTGCATATTCTTGTAGCTTGCCTCGAGAACTTTCCAAAACACTATAATAAAATTTCTTTCTATTAAGTATTTTCCAAATTATGAAGCTTGAAAGTTATGGTAGAGTGATAAAGAAAATAAGACAACGCGCTCAACTTCTTTCTCTCTCGCTCTACTGTAACTTTCAAGCTTCATAACTCGGAAAACACTTAATAGAAAGGAATTTTATTAGAATGTTTTGGAAAGCTCTCGAGGTCAGCTATAAGAATATGCAAGGGGGTAACCACTTAATGTAATCGTGGGACAGTGTCTCCGAAATCATTATGAAATCCTTACGAAATCCCAATGTAATCGTTTTGCAATCAGATGTAATCATGAAATCAGATGAAATCATGTGGAATCATTAGAAATCATAATGAAATCATATGTAATCAGCAGAAATCATTTTGAATTTTCGTGTAATCACTGAAAATCATGTGTAATCACCATGAAATCTGTAATGAAATCATGTGTGATCACCATGAAATCTGATGAAAGCATGTCTCGTATGCAGTGTGAGATCTCGAGAATAGCTATACTATATCTATAATTCAAAAGAGACAGAAGACAAAAGATCTCGGAAATAAAAGACAGATGATCTATCTGTGTTCCAACGCGAGCCGAGCGGCAAACGGGTGCCTTCCGTAGTATGCGTTTGCTAGCGCGCCAACGGCTAGCGCCGGTTCATCCCCACCACCTACTGGCAGTGTGTTGTTCTTTGTTCCGTCTGCAATTTGGCAGCTCTGCTCATAACCTGCATAAACAGCTAAGACGTAGAAGAGATTATTTTATATAAAATAATCTTTCTTATTGGATATCGAACGTCGTACGTCGAAAATCGGACCCAATGTGAATCCAGCAAGTGTTCGCAAATCAACACTGTCGGACCCTGGTATAGATAGATGTTTTTTAATCAGAATATGATGGAGGGCGAGGTGATAAACGAAAAAATCTATGTTAGTGTTGGAATTCAGACCGAGACTCAGGAAGAGGATCAAATTGCCATGGATGTAGTCGCAATGTGGCACATTATAGAGACGGGAATGGGACTGAAAGTTCCCGTATACTTAAAAAATATCATGCGTCTTGAAGGGTATGACACAACCATCGCCATACAGAAGATATCGGCAGATAATATTGAAGAGCTGGAGCTCTTTGGTAGAAAAGAAATGCACAAGTTCATAAAAAAGGGCGAGAAATACAGCGACTATTTCGACAAATATTATATTTGCCCTAGTGAGTTCCGCATTCCAATCGGACATAAGATACTACTCAGTGAAATACAGAAATTCGTTACTAACAAGCTCTCTTCGGATAAAATGTATTTCACGCCTGAGTTAAGACTTGAAAAATCTAACTGTCAACCCCGAAAATTAACAAAAAGCATGAATTTCACTATGAATCAAAAGCGAAAAAACTGTGCAAGTCAAACAGCAAGTAAACTTCAAAATGAAGACTTCTCGCCGAGTTCCTCGCAGCATACCAATAGTGGATCAAATCCAGACACTCTCGTTGACATTAATTTGAACGCTGAGCATGACAGTCTTTATGGCTTAGTAATGGCATGGTTGAAAAACCAAAATAAAGTAAGTAATATAATTTAATTCAAATATGTATCTAATTATGTAATAGGTATACATACTGTATAATACTTAATTAATTATTAAAATTACACAAATAAACGCAAATAAATGAACAACATAACAATTCAAAATTTAACTAATAAGATAATTAAGAATAACTTAGATAACTACAAGGATAATTTAAATTTTT